GAAACGTCATGTGTGATTACATGCATTCGTGCTTTTTGTTGCACGGTGCGCCGATGGCTGATGAGGCCATGCGTCAGCAGAGTGTTTTGGTTGGTAGTAGGTTTTGCTTTCTACTAGCACCGTCTGCTATGGAAGCAAAGGAGGGCCCGACCAATCACTTGATATAAGCGGAGGAGGAACAATTATTTCATGCTGCAGTGCCGGGGCCGGTTTCTCTGGCTCGATCCATTTTTTGCAAGAAATCCTGTCGTGTCATGACTGCCCACCCATGTGCTCTCAGTGTGGCCACTGCCTCCAAGAAGTTGTGTGTGGCCAGGCGCTTCATAGTTCTTGCCTGGGCGTCGTGGGGTCGGGTTTGTCTACGACAGAGTCTTTGCAATTTCGCCCCACTCGCAGAGGCGCAAAGCCTTGGAAGCTCTTCGCGCAATTTTTTTGAACAAAACTGTGGTCCTCTACGCCCTGTGCTTATAGGGTCTTATACGCGTCCATGACCAAGGTGTTGAGGCCAATGGACTTCAGGTATTCCTGGCCCGAATCACTTCGCACGACCCGCAGCAGGCTGTCTTCTTCGATCCAGGCCCCGACACTCTTGTCCTGCAGATGGTACAGCAAGTCGTGCCAACCCTTGGAGTCCCCGTACTTGTTGCAGTTCTCTGAACCGCCGTACCGCTGCAAGTCGTCTGCCCGCTTGCGTTTGCGGGTGAACAGCTTCTGCCGGAGGTTGAAGAACAAGGTGTTGGCTCTGAGACGCAATGGAATCCCATCGTTGACCGCCACCTTGGACAGGCACTGCGGGGAGGGGTGCGCATGGACAGGCACTGGCACTACAGGTTCTAACAATGGCTGCAACGGCTATTTTTGCCTAACTTGCCTTCCAGGGTTCACCAACAGATTTGTCTGTGTGCTCAAAGGTGAAGGCCCCTTCCAAGAGCCGCAAGGTGGCTTGGTCAATACTGGGAAGCTTCAAATAGAAGTCCGTAGGGGCAAAGAAGTCGTCAAGAGCTGTAGTTGGTGTGGTCTTCATATGCTTGGCGGCTTCAACTGCGATCATCCTCTCTAAGTACAGTTGGTTGACCGAATACAACTCCATTCGAGGCACCGCAGCGACTGCATCAAGTAACCGGATGCAAGCATCGAAGGGCACGGTGTCAAGCCAATCAACAGGGAGAGAGTCCTGGAAGGCAAAAGCCAGCAAGCCATTCCTGATGGCAAGGTTACTCAAAGCGATGCTCCCGTAGAACCTACCCGCGTGCTTCCGCACGCACGCTGAGCCGACAGCCCCTGCCGACTTATTGCACGCTCGGCCACTGCCTTCACAGATGCCGGCCAGAATGCTTCCAGCCGCTGGGGACCATACCACTTCCTGAGAAGGCGCAGCGAGGTTTGCACACGCGTGCACATGTGCATGGGTTGAAAACACCTGGTTTTAAAAATCCACAAGCAACCAGGTCCTTGATTGTCGGTGTCGTCTGGGGCAATTGCTTGGTTGGCACTCCACGTGTGCGAAGCCGTGGTCGACGCACCTGACCCTGCCGTCGTCGCCCCACCCTCACGGCGGGAGTGCCTGCAGGCTGGGCCGGCCCTGGAGCGGGCGGCGCGGCTGGCGCTGCGGGGGCTGGGTCTGCACAGGGACGATGTTGGAGTTTGTAGATGCCCCCCAGAACCTCCGTCAAAAGTCCTTCGCTTGCTTTTTTGGGATAAAAGCTTTCCTCAAACAGCCGCTCACGCACGGCCTCCCCATCAAAGGTGTGTACACCTAGGCGGGTGCGGCCGTTGCTACACGAGCCCATTTGCTTCACATAGGTTTCCTGCTGGCAGCCGAGCCACACACAGGCATGCGCTGACACGCAAGTCTCTGCTTGAGCTGTCCCTTTTCCAAAGGCTTCAGTTCCGTCTAACAATTCGATCAAGTCTTCCTCTTGCAAATATTGAGTCTTCGAAGCGCAAATCACTTTTTCGAGCTCCCCATTCACAATCTGAATCTGACCTCTTGTTTGGGGCAGCTTCTTCAAGATGCCATGGACAGTAATGTGGCCCTGCCTCCACACGAATGTGGCAGAATGTGCGTGGGGCTGGTTGCGGGACAGCCAAGAGAGCACAATGGACTTCAAGTTGTCTTTCCCGTCTGCGCTCGCACCAATCAAGACCTGCGACAACCTCGAACCAACGACATTCCAGTCACTATCTGTGCCGGGCACAGCTGTGACTTTGAGCGCGTTGCTCTTCTGCCCACAAAACCCAAAGGCGGCCTGTGATTGAAAAGCGGCGTGAACTATGTGCCCATCTGGTGGGCACCCACCACCCTGCGCTACCCGGCGGCACGCTTCAGCCACCTCATGCGGAGCCACAGCTTGCAACGGCGTCTTTTTTTGAGCTGCCACAGGGTTGAGGGGCATGTCTTTGTTCAAGGTGTCCGTGTAGAAAGATTCGATCAGAGTAGCGAAGTGGTCCTTCAAGGTTACGTCTTTCGGCATCTTGTGAAGATTGTACTCTGAGCCCACCGCATTCTCGTCGTAGACGTGCCTTGACCACCTGGCAGAGTTGAGGCTCGTAAAAAGAAGGTTGTTCGGCTT